TCCCACCCCACATTGTCTCGTGTCTGGACTACAAAACCTGTCAATTGTTACTCTTCTCTCGTTTTCTCTGACGATGGCCTCCTGTACGACTCCGAAAGCTCAGATATGTACAAGTGCTGTCGCAGTAATCGCGCCATTGTCTTCCTTGCAACAAAGGGTTTTCTCTGTATGTAAACTTTCGCCGGCCTAGTGCAGTTTTAAAGCCAGTACATACCCTGCTTCCTTTAACAGACGTATTTATTCTAACTGAAACAAAGCGAGCGCGTGCTCAGGAATGGCTTCCCATGACAATAGAAAAGTTCGGTTTCCTGCCTATATGCAGAAATTTAGATACATTCTGATGATCAGTTTGCATACATTGACCCCTATGTGCTGGGCGAAGTTGTTGGTGGCTTGAAATCGAAAAAAGAGACGTTCTGGTCATTTCAGCCCTACCGAATCATCTTACGAGCTTATGTAGACAAATTTTACAGTCAGATATTATCGTTCTGTTCATTTAAGGAAGCTTCATAAACCTGCTCGAGTAAGGAAGCTGGTTAGTTGTAGGTTGATGAACATCATTTTCTATTCCGAATATGTTTGATCCGCTAGTACAGGGGTCGGCAACGTTGCTGAATCAGAGAGCCAAGAAAGTAAATATTTGGCAGTATATTTCAGTGAGAGCCATATAATATATTTTAAGATTAAATGCAATTAAATGTGAGTTTAAAAGCCGATGGATTTATTCTTTTAAATAATGTTCTTATAGTCCTCATTGTTAATGCGACTTCTGTTGCTGCATGAATTCGCTGATGGCTTTGTAGTCTGGTTGGTTGTTGTTGAGGTTAAGCTTCATGCAAGCGTTGAGGCTTTCATCCGTTAGACGTGATCGTATTGTGGACTTGATGATGTGAGAATGACTGTTCACATGCATATGTAGATCCAAACAGGGACAATACAGCGATACTCACACGCTGCAGTGTGTTGCATGTGACAGGAAGCGTGTTCCAAGTTTTTATTATCAGCTGGTCTTCGGGTTGAATTTTTTTACTTTCTGTCCTGATATGTTCGTTTGCCAGCTCCGCTATATGTCGTGTGAATGGGCTGTTTGCTTGCGTGTGATAAATGCGTCCGTCTGGGGGAAATAAACACAAGAGACTATACGTGACGAGGCAGGCTGCCCTATGCGCGTAAGGTAGCCTTGTCTGTCAACACTACCTTGATTTAACTGAGGTCAAGTCTGGGGGCTGTCGTGCTTTAGTAGAGCGTCCGTTATTTAGCGAGCTTGTCGCGGCCGTTGGGACTCAGAAGAAGCAGGGAAGCAGCTGCTGTCGGCTAGCCGGAAAGGGAAAATTAAAACAACTGCTAGGTCAAACGTAGGGGGCCGAAACACCAGAGATTGGTCGAGATTGAATTGATTCTAATACTCGTCTCGGCGACGCCACGTCATTGGAGTAACCAAAATCACAATATTTGAAGTTTCTAATCCCAATTTTATCTGGGAGAGCCAGACGCAATCATCAGAAGAGCCACATCTGCCTC